AGAGAGAGAGAGAGAGAGAGAGAGAGAGAGAGAGAGAGAGAGAGAGAGACCATGTAGTGTTTGCCTGTTTCTCTTGGAACACACTCTAGGTGGCTTCAGCTGGGTGGTGACAGGCACCTCTTCATTCACCAGTCATGTGAATGAAGATGCCTTTGAGGTTCCCCTAAGACAACCAGGATCTTTCTGCAAATATAGGAGAGGTCCTATGTGAGAAGCGCTGAGCACAGTTTGCCCATAGATTTGTGGACAAAATAAATAATTGTGATTTTCTTATTTTTATTTTTTKCAATATTGGGGATTAAACCCAGGGTGCTTTGCCAATGAGCTACACCCCCAGCCTCTTTTATTTTTTATTTTGAGACAAGGTCTCACTAAGTTATTGAGGCTGGCCTCTGGTTGCTTGAGCCAGAATTCTAGGAGTTATTCTCAATACCTTTCTTTCCCTTGCTTCTCACATCCAATAAATGAATTCTATTCAAACTGTGTGTGTGTGTGTGTCACAAATGCAGTTTCATTCCCCCCCCCCCCCGCCACTAAACTAAACTACATCTTCAGCTCTTTTATTTTGTTTTTTATTTTGAGACAGAATCTCACTACGTTGCCTAGGCTGGCCTCTAACTTGCGAACCTCCTGCCTCAGCCTCTTGGTAGCTGAGGTTACAGGTATGAACCACCCATCCTGGCTGCAATTTCACATTCTTTATATTATTTGATCTTGATAGCGACCTCTCAAAGAAATGGGAAGCAGGCTATTATACCCATCATAGAGTTGAAGAAGCTGARGCTGAAGCTTTATATTTTATAGAAAAGTCCCATAGCATAGAACCCAGATAGAACATAGTTTTTCCAATTTCCATTATAGCGCAGTTTGTACTGCATCTTGCTAAGTGCTGTGGGAAGAAAAAGAATGTCCTCCAGCAGTGGAGRATACCCTGAATCAGAGAGCTTGCTTCGAAATTAGAGAGCTGAGAAACTCAAGTCTGAGGAGATCGGAGAGTGCTTCTCAGAGTTTTCCATAAAATCACTCCTCACTAGAAGAAGAAAACTACTTACTTCCTCTGGMATATAGAGATGTGTAGTCTAAAAGGAAGTTCTTTTAAGCAATTCATTCATTTATGGAACAATTGTTTATTGAGCACTTGCTATATTCCAGACACTGTGCCAAGTTCAACAGCATGAACACCGAACACGATTCCTATCTTCATGAGGCTCCAGAAAAGAGAACCAAACAAGCAATTCACAAACCATAATCTGGAATCTACGGTTTTCAGGAAGAAATCAGATGAAAATGGAAGCCAAAGGGGCAGGAAGAGAAGAGGGTGCAGAGAATTCTAGGTTGAACAAAAAGCTCAGAGCTAAAAGGGAAGACAACTTTTTTTGTTAAGGCATACAGAAAGATTAAGGTCAGCCTGAGTGTGTTTAATAGGACTAAAGTCAGAGAGTAGGGATCAGATGACCATCCGTAGGCATATTCTATGCGCAAAAAGGATTTAGACTCATTGGCCTTTATCAAGATTCCCTGGGCTTAATCTCAGGAAAGCCTAATCATATGGACACAGTTTGGAAGTTAGATCTGTGTGTCCTTGGAGAATTTCTYAATTTCTCTGAAATATAGCGTTCTCGTCTGGAAAACGCAGACAATGATCATCACCTACAAATTTCTTACGGAARCTAAATGGAATAACATTAAAAATGCCTACTGTAAGGCCTGACACTCAGTAAGTATTCGATGTTAGTTTTGATGACTCTAAATTAGGGAAATGTATGATGCTAACCTAATCAAAACCCATGCTATCCGTTTGTTAGGAAGTGACAATTGCTATAACAAAAGAGAAAACTTAGAGAGGAAGCCAAATAGGCAAATGGGGTATAAGAGACTGGATCCAAGGCCCTCGGGTGTRGGGGGGATGTCTGCCATATTTAAACCCAGCAGGGAGGCCAGGGTAGGTGGCGTGGAGTCAACAAAGGGGATGGATATCAGGAGGGAGACACAGTCAGAGAGAGGCCTGGGCCTGGCAGACACAAAGGTGTGTATGTAGACCCCGAGGTAAGAGAGAGGAAGGACACCTCTTTCAAGACAAACAGCAAAATTAAATTTAGAGATTAAGAAATTCTCCTAAAGTCACAGATTGGGATCTAAACTTGGATGGCCAGGAAGGGCCTGAAGGAGCATGATGAGAATCCTGATAAAGATCGATGTMTGGAAATTCCTTTGGGAATTTAGAATCAGAGGTCATCTGTGCATTTGGATTCAAGGAGAATAAATGGCCAGGAAGAAGGTCCAACATGGAAAAGTCAGACAATGTCTAACTGTCAGGGTGTGTTTAACCAAAGAGAGTTCTGAAACACTCCAGTTCTCCTGCTGGTGTGGATCCCAGCAGYTGGATTAATACTTCATAACAGTCCCCACTSCAGAGCCCATGCCAGTGTCYGATACACTGAGTCAGCCCCAAGGGGTCCATATAATTACAAAAGGCCCTGAATATAGTATGTCCCTAGGTTTACAGAGAGAGTCACGAGAACCAGACCAGATCCAAAAGATTGCCCCCACCTCCCCCCTGCCCAGAAAGCCCCGTATGAGGGACTGACTAGATTTTCTCCAGGTATTACTAACTCTTCTTCCAAAAAGTTGCATACCTTCCTAATTTTAGGATGCTTGTTGAACCTCTCCACACTGTTCATTGTTCTCATTTTTATGCATCATGGTGAGCACTAAAAACCTTTAAATGAAAAAAAAAAAAAACAAAAAAAATCCTGAGATGCTAATGGGTGAAATAGCCAGAAAGACAGAAGCTTAACTCCTTCTTTGTGGCCCGGAAATTCCAGCACTAGAGGAAGAAAGATGGTCTGGAAGTGGTAACTGGGGACCCTGACCCTGAGCACACGAGGTGGTGAGCTTCAGCAATCCTGACTTTTGTACGGCTTCCCTTGGCCTCAGGTCCTATTTTGGAATGACACCTAAGGCAAAGAGATGGAGCCCKATTCTCCAAAGCTAAGGAAGTCTCCCCAACCTTCTACGGGTACAGACAGACCCCACTTGCAGGGCTGAGCCGCGTCCCATCTCTCCTTTCCCGTCTGACCATGCTTTTGGTGCAGAGTCACAGGCAGTTGGTGGAAAGTACCTTGCATACTGGTCACCAGAAGAGACAACAGCAGTAACAGTCCTGGAGCCGGCCACCAGTTCCATCGCCCGGAGCGCACAGTACATTCCATTGATTTGCAGGATTGCTGGAGACAGCCAAGAGCCAGGTTAGAAAGAGACCAAAGGTAGAAAGGCAACTCAAAAAGCAAGGTTAGAGGAAAATACCCAATGAACTTTTCTCCACACCCAGTACACTTGCGGCAGAGGAGGGGCGGAAAGAAGAACAGGAAGTTTATGAGGTTTTTCATTTGAAAGCACCATGGCAACAGAATAAAAATTTTTAAAAATATGTATTAGTGCTTTTCTAGCAGGGAGAAGATTCAGAGCTTCTACTAGGTTCTCAGAGGGGCCAATGCTCAGAAGAWATGAAGGATGGTGATAAGTTCTCAGGAAGAAATCACTTTGATTAAATCAGGGGACGATACAAAGCAGATGCCCATCCAAGCATGATCAGGTCTCATTCGGAACAGAAAGTTAGACAATAACTGCCGCACCTGCCACCCCCAACTCTTCTGACCTTTCAATAAATTCAGTTGGACCCTTTACATTGGCCTATCCACTGAACATTAGTGGAAGATTTCTTGGCCCAAGAGAATGGATTGCCCGCCTTTGTGGTCTGAGAAGTTTCAAACCCATTTCTCATTTCAATTCATTGAACCTAAATGGACGTTGAGAGGACACTTTGGGGGAACTCATGAGAAAAGCCACCGTCCCTGATAGAGYGYATTTGTAGTCATTTCAGAACTGGGGATGTTTCTAATTCTCAAAATAGAGGTGGCCAATACAATGTGGCTGTCCTCTCTCAATCTGGAAGCCATCACCTCTCAAAGAATCAGCAGAGGGGAAACCGGGTCAACTCAGTACCCGAAGCTGTGTACGACACCTTGGATTCCTGCGAGGTGGCCAGGGCAGRGATCATTACCTGTACCTGATTGAAACTCAGGGTCAGACTTGCCCAAGGTCCTGCTTTAGCTAGATTTTCTCCCAGTATGCGAGAGAGCCAGTCTTTGGACTAGAAGAGAAGACGTGACTGAAGTGAGCAAGACTGAAGCAGAATTTCGTGGTGAGATCTTAAAGCCAACCATTAAAAGGAACTGAGAGGGAGGAGGAAGAGGAGGAGGAGGAGGGTGGTGGTGGTTATGTGAGGGGGGCAGGTCAAAGGCAGAAGTCAACTGTGGGCGTGCCCTGCGCTGGTCCTGAAGCCTCTTGAGAAACGATTTCCCACCCATCTTAATAGTGTCTCCTTTGATGGAGGGAGAAAGGAGAGAGGGCAGGTCTGGGAGTCAACAAGCCCAGAGAAGGTGTTGAAAGCAATCCAGATGCAGCCATCCATGAGAACCCTCCCTGAGAAGGRGAGAGAGGGCACTGGAGGGCTGAGGGGAGGCCCTAGGGCACCCCTGCTTTCCTCCTCTCCTTTCCTTCTCTCCTGCCCACTCACCCCAGGCCTTCCTGATGGCTTGGTCCCCAAGGCCATCCACCCCAGAGTGCCCCCTGGCCGAGAGCTTATTATCCAACTCCCTGAATCCATATCCTAGGGCGTGGCTATTTAAAGGAACTGAGCTAAGAAAGGAAGGGTATGGCAAGGGATGATTTGACGTCATCTCCTTCCTTTTAAAATGTGTGTGGTTTGCAAGAGAGCGTGGGACAACACATTATTATGTGTGAAGGAGGATGTTCATGTAAGTTGTGGTCATTTACCCCATGCATTCCGTAGGCATCCACCTGTGCCTGTGGGGTGCTCAGTGGGTGTATTCTATAAATACAATTGCACGGCTTCATCCACCTTATTGATTGATTTGTTTTTTCCTTTCTCTTGTCTCCCTGCATTGTACTGGCTGTTTCCTCTGCCTGGAGACCTCCCAGCCCTTCTCTACCCAACCAACGGGCCATCCATCCTTTGAAAGTAGCTCAAGTTTTACCCCCTTCCTCCAGAATGCCTCCCTTGCTCTCAGGYCCTTGTTTCTGTCTCCCCCTGGCGTCTTGTTCTTATCACTTGAATAGAAACTGCTGGTCTTGAGGGAACAGTACAAGCTTCTAGACAAGATGAGGCCATTGTAAGAAAGGTTTCTCAATTGTCTATTTAAAAAGCTTTCTAATTTAAAAACACATGTGGATATTATAGAAAATTGATCAAGCAGGATGCAAGGGTACACTCTTGTAATAATCCCAGCAAGGGGAGACTGAGACAGGAGAATTGCAAGTTGAAGGCTAGCCTCTGCAACTTACCAAGACCCTATCTCAAAATAAAATATAAAAAGGTCTGGGGATGTAACTCAGTGGCAAAGCTCCTCTAGGATCAATCCCCAATCTCTCTCTCTCTCTCTCTCTCTCTCTCTATATATATATATATATATATACACACATATGCATATAAATATGTAAATATTTATATAAATATATATGTATATACACATAAATATATAAATACTTATATAAGTATATGTATGTACATATATATACATATATACATATAAGTATGTATATATAAATAAATGTGTATTTATATACATATTTAATACATATATGAATAAATACATATGTGTAAAATATACACATATATAAAATGTATATGTATAAATATATATGTGCATATATAAATATACACATATGTATGAAAAGTATAAAGTTAAAAGTACATTCGTTCATGACCTCGTTACCCGGGACAGGAGGAGCACTGTTAATTTTCTGGTACAGAGTAACTTTTCCTGGTGTCTCACTATGCTTATTCACATTCATTTAGATAACTGGGCTCCTATGGCATATGYACTTTATATATGACTTTTTGTCACTCTGTCATGATCATTATCCCAGCTTTCTTCAAAAATAAGATCTTGAATAGAAGCTTGATATTTGTTAATACAGCCACCCTGCACCTAAGCTGTTCTTCATTCTTTTGGGTTGTTTCTAACTTGTATTTGCATAGAACACTTTTCAGAGGCAAATAACACTGAGAAAGTGGAGTGGGAAATGACTGCCGGAGGCTAGTGGGGTAATGGGAGGGGAGAGTATTCAAGGCTCTTTTATTTTCACTTTTATTTATTTTTGATGTAATTTTTTTTTAATTTTAAAAAATGTTTTTTRGTTGTAGATGGACACAAAATCTTTATTTCATTTATTTTTTATGTGGTGCTGAAGATTGAACCCAGTGTCTCACAGGTACTAGGCAAGCACTCTACCACTTAGCCACTACCCCAGCCCCTTGATGTAAATTTTGGTGCATTAAAATTATTCGTGATATGGGATTCATTATGCACAAAACATAATCTGGTCAATTGAGTCTCTGTTGGAAGGAAAGGGCAGCTGGGTACAGTGAYGCATGCCTGTATAGAGGCTCAGGAGGCTGAGGCAGGAGGATTGCAAGTTCAAAGCCAGCCTCAGCACAAGCGAGGCACTAAGCAATTCAGCAAGACCCTGTCTCTAAATAAAATACAAAATAGGGCTGGGGATGTGGCTCAGTGGTGGAGTGCCCCTGAGTTCAATCCCTGATCCGCCCYACCAAAAAAACAAAAAAGAAGGGAAGGGCGGTCTGAATGGAGGACAGCACCTGGGAAAAGTCAGAGCAGGTCTGTGGGTGGCAGAATGCATTCAGAGGTTGYGCCCTATCTGTGTAAGCACCCTAGCGGGGACCTAGGGGTGGACCCTGCAGCTGTGTCAAGGCAGGCATCAAACAACTTGGAGGAGGATCTTTCAGTCTGTATCAAGGGGTGGTCTATTTGATTATGTAGACTCTATCTCCCTACCATCTTAATTTAAGAAGGGAATATACCAGTAGGATATTATTTTGGACCAAAAAGGTGTGTCCCTTCAAGAAAATTTTACATCGTTGCTTTGAGTCTGCCTTTACCCCAAAGAGAAACTGGGAACATAATGTCTCCCTTGCTGACTGTCATGAGAAGTAAATGGAATGCCATGTGATTCTCAAAGGTCTGCTTAGATAGGGTCAACTGGTGTCCAAATGATGTGGCCTGGCGTGAAAAGAAAAGAAAGGAAATACAAACTTAATCCAGAGAATCTTTCTCCTTCCCTCGGATGGCAGCACGCCCTGGGGTACTGCTGGTGTTGGGCATGGGAACTTGGTGACGGTAGAAAACGAAAACAAGTCAGGTGGGTGAATGCTCAGGCGAGACTTTAATTTCGACCTCTACTTGAGAAGGGAGACCCAACATTGCCCTAGGGAGCGCCAAGCCTGCCTTTCTGAATGAAGGGAGCAAGTTTTATTCCTGTGAAGGGGCTGATTGCAAGGGGGAGCTAAGGTTTAGGAATGCGAAGTGGTTTTCGTGCCTTTGAAAGGTTTGTTTTCTTTTCCTGTGTGGACACTGACTCTGAGTGACTCACGGTTGGTCAGTAGGTCATACTGGACCCAAATGCTAGCTTTTCACATTGACCCGCATCCTTTATAGACAGTCTCTGCCTGGTGAGACGATGACTTGCTGTAGCTGTTAAAAAAAACTCAGAGCACGGCAAGTACCAAGTGAAGTGTCTTGGGAATTTGCCACGTTTTGGTCCCTTCAAAAGCTTTATTTATCCTTTATGTTGGAAGCAGGAAAGAACTTACTATCTTTTAATGACCGTCAGGCTWTGGGTTAGGCCCAGGAATGCATGTGCTCTTTGTCCCTACTGGTGGACCCTGTGTTAGTCCCCCACTGAGAGATTTCAGCAACTTAAGGAGGAGCATTTTGTTCTTATTTGAGTGGTTAAAACATGGAGTGAGATCTAGGTGTGGAAGTGTGGGTCAAGACTGYAGGGTTGCAAGGTTAACAAGGAAGAGTGCAGATTTTGCAGAGCCATTTACTAGAGTGAGGTTTAGRTGATATACAGGGAGAAATTGTGGCTCCCTGGTTATGGTGTAGATAGGGATAAGAAATCCACAGTAGGAGAGGCCATTTCTGTAGCTACAATCCTAGAGACCAATAAGAAAGTTTCTTCCCACTGGTTYTTGACAAAAGCAAATGGGAAGGCCAGGCATGGTGGCACATGCCTGTAATTTCAGTGGCTCGGGAGGCTGAGGCAGGAGGATCACAAGTTCAAACCCAGCCTCAGCAACTTTGTGAGGCCCTAAGAAACTTAGCTTAGATCTCTGTCTCCAAATAAAATTTTAAAAGTTGTGGGGATATGACTCAGTGATAAAACACCCTTGGGTTTAATCCCTGGTACCAAAACCAAAACCAAAACAAAAAACCTGTTGGGATT